TGAGCCATGCACACTTGTCCTTGTCCCCCTTCCAGCTCAGCAGCTGTAGCCTCCCTTGGCCTGGTTCAGTTTCCTCCTACTCAGCTGCCTGTGGGGTAACACAATCCTTCCTTGGGGCTCGGAGGCATCTGGTCTCCCCCCAGGATGTGGTAAAATGTCCATGGAGGAAGGGATCACTGTGATCAGAGTCCCAGCCCTTTACTAACCAGGTAAAAGATTTCTCTGCTCTTGGTTCATTCTGAACTAACCCTTTGCCTGCCTGCCTCTCCCCCCCAAGGCAGATCTAGCTCCACCTCCCCCTGCTACCACTTTCTAATCCTCTAAGAACATTTTCCATCAACTAATTTCTAGAACATATCAACTCAGACTTTTAGCCTTTTTATTTTGTTTTCTGGAAGGTTGGAAATTCTAAAAGACAGAGAAAGAATCTGAGTTGAAATCATGTACTGGATTAAAGACAGGACCAAATAGATTAGATTTACATGCACGCACACCCCCAATCCCCCACCCCTGCCCTGGGAGATTATGCTGTAAATCAATAGGACCCAGAGACCTGGGATTTCTCTCTGCCCCTCCCTGTCCTCCTCCCTAACCAGCCCTATCCTTGAAGATAGCAGACTTCCAGACAAGCTAAGCTCACTTGTCGCTGGGGAACTTTGACATTGCTGAGGACCTTCCTAATCTCGAAGGTCAGTCGTGCTGAGCCAGGGATTCCTTCGGAAAGCCCAGGTGTAGAGTAGAAGGAACAGCAGTTGGGTCGAGGATGGTCTCTCTAAATCTGTTCAAAGCCCCTACTTTCCCATGCACAGGAAGTGGCAGTGTCCAGCCCTGTAAGAAGAGCTGGCCCAGCTGGGCTCACATGATGTTTTAGCTGAACCGAGGAATGGGTGTGGTGGGAGAAGTGGGCAGTGGTGCACACGCCTTTTGATCTGGGGGGAGAGATTTGTTAAGACATCCACCACAGTGGACAGGGTGAGGCTAAGTTGGACTTTGCACTTTCCCCAGTTGTCATGAGGGGCCTAGCGGCCTTCTCTGTGACCTGGCAGGCCTGGTCCAGTCTCTCTCTACAGGCCTTTTTATAAAGCTTTCCAAGAACAAGGCCCCCCGATATTTTAGCCTAGCTCAACACCCTGCCTCCTTTAAGGTTGGGGCCCTTTTGTTTCCTTCCCTTTGATCTCTGTTACAATTTATGCATGCTGTGCCTTCCTCGTGCAGCAGTGACAAGAAGCAAGCACTCTGATGTCAGACTGACTCTATCATGTCCTGGGTTTAGCATTTACCAGCTGCGTTATTTTGGGCAACTTAATCTCGGCAAACCTCAGTTTTCTCACCTCTAAAATGGACGTAATTATAGTACTTTAATCATCAAGCGTTATGTGCAATAAACCAGACAAAATGTATGTAAAAGCTTCAGCACAGCCTTGGGACACTGGCAGCCCTTATAAATGTGAACTGAGGTCATCATCTCTCCTTCCTCCTCATGTCCTTCGACTTCCGGAGCCCATCTTCCTCATTTCCAAGTCCCAGCTGTATGAGTTATTCCATCATTTTTTCCCTGTTTCTGTGGACAGGGTGGAAGAATGGGAGAAAAGGGGGTAATTATTGTGTCTGCCCTCCCCATTGCGTTTTGGGAATCCAGGTGTGGGGCATAAATAACTTGCTATTAGCCTGGCCTTTCCCGCATGGTCTCCAGGTATCCAGCCTGGGGTTTGGGCTGCCAGTTTCCATGCTTCACCATGGTCTCTGCGGGTGGACACAGTGAGATCCCTGTGACCCCCTGACATGCAGCTTGGAGGCAGCAGCATGAACCGGGAAGTCTCTGCTTGCTTATTGTTGGGTTTCCACCCGCCTGCTTGCTCCTGGGAAGGGCACGGCTGCCACCTGCTGGCTGTGGACAGCATGGCACCTGGCTGTCCCCCAGGCTCCTGCTGGAACCAAGATTGGAGCACTGGCCCAGACACAGGTCCTGGGGGGCTCTTCCCTGTTGGGCCCTGAGGAAGTGTGTTCCTCAAAGTCCTTTCTCCTATCCTGCCCACTTCTACAGGTATGGCCCTTCCTATTCATCTCAAAAAGAAGAATTCATAGAGAACCTGGCTGGAGACAGAGAGGGCATGCTCTAGGGTGGGCCAATGAGGCAGGGCGCAGGAACCAGGACGAAGGCACCACTGACTGGCCTTGATGAGAGAGAGATGGAAGAAGGGGTAACTGTGTCCTCAGCTTCCACTCTTGCCCCTTCTTGCTCCCAGAGAAGTCAATTTCATGTGTTGCCTGCTCATGTAGCCCAGTCCAGGGCCACCCCTGAGCCCTGAACTGCCCTTGCTCTGGCTGCCTTTCCATGACCAGTCCCCACCTCCACTCCCAGACAGAATGCCTGTCCTTATCTCACTGCCTGCAGAAACAGGGCTGGGGACTGCGAGGTCATTAGCCGGCAGCATGGTCCCAGGAATAACACAATGAATATTCTTCACCCAGATAGACGCAACAATTGTCAACATTTTGATATATTTGTGTTATCTCTCATTCTTGAGTGTGTGTGTGTGTTTGTTGAATGATTTGCATGTAAATTGCAGAGATTATCCTAAATATTTCAGCATGCATCTTTTAAGAATATTTTCCTACAAAACTAACATACCATTATTTACTTTCAAGGAATTTAATATCAACAGGATTATACCATTAGCATGAATCTGTATTTGAACTTCCCAGTTGTCTTAATGTCTTAGTCCATTTTGTGTTGCTATCAAGGAATGCCCAAGGCTGGGTAATTTATGAAGAGGTTCATTTGGGTCATAATTCTGATGGCTGGAAAGTCCAGGAGTGGATAACTACATCTGCTGAGGGCCTTGGTCTGCTTCCGCTTGTGATGGAAGGTGAAAGGGAGCTGGGCTGTGCAGAGATCACATGCAGAGAGAGAAAGCAAGAGAGAAGGGCAGGTGACAGGCTCTAGTTAACAACCAGCGCTTCCAGGAACCAACAGAGAGCTCACTCACCCCGAGGGAGGCCATTAATCTAGTCATAAGGGATCCCCATGTCCTAAACACCTCCCAGTAGGCCCCTCCTCCAACACTGGGGATCACATTTCAATACGAGGTTTGGAGGGAACAAACATCCAAATCGTCACACCCAGTAATGTCCTTTGTACCTTTGTTTTCAATCCAGGATCAAATCTGGGATCACACGCTGTATTTAGTTGTCATGTCCTTTAACAAAAAAACAGTTCTCCCATCTTTTTGGTCTTTTATGTGTTGACATTTTTGTGGAATCTAAGGCTAATTATTTTGTAGAATGCCCCACATTCTGGATCTCACAATTTCGATCTGTCATATTTCTTAGGAATAGATTCCGGATAAGCTTTTTTGCCAAGAATACTACCCATTGATGTTGTGTCCTCAGTACATCGTATCAGGATTTGTTCTTTCTTTTTATCTTTCTTTCCTAATTTATTATCTGCCTACTTCCCCCAAATCATTTAAGGAAGCCTACAGTAAAACAGAAAATTAAAAATTCTGCTGAGGGTAGAGAAAGCAAATACACCGAACTGTCTAGGTTGATGTGGGTCCTGGGAAGATGCATTGCATTGATCTCAGCTTTCTGGCAGCCAAGACCCAAAGGGGAATCTGTGGAATGACAGAACTTGCATTTTTTAAAATTAAGGGTCAGCAAACTTTGGAAAGTGCTAAATAGTAAATATTTGGAGCTATTCTTTCTCTGTTGGAACTATTCTGTTATTATAGCACAAAAGCAGCCATAAACCATACACAAACAATAAACATGGCTGTGTCCCAATAAAACTTTATTTATAAAAGCACAACTTCTGAACTTGACCCAGTGGCCCCAGTTTTCTCACTCCCGATTTAAATGAGAGAACATAGACTAGTTATTAAATGAGCAAAACTTTCTTTTTCTGGTTAAGTACTGCATATTAAAAGAACTATTTACATTATTATTTAGTTGTTCCACAAAACCTGTTTCCTTTTCATTGATACAAATTTATGGGGAGCATGTGCAATTTATGTTATAGTATTCAGCAAAAAAATTTGAAGAATGGCCTGTGTCAAGTATGCCAGGTATTGGGCATTAATACATCAATGACAAAGCAGACAAGATTCCTGCATCCCTGAGAGTCTGATGTGAGAGACAGGTGATGTACAAATAAACCAGTATAAAACTATATCCTATAATCAGGATCATGGAAGGAAAGAATGGGTCCAGTGACAAAATAATGAGGCTGGGGATAAGCTATGCTGATAAGGTATTCAGGAAACCTTCCTTGAGAAGATGACATTTAAACTGAGACTCAGTGAAGGTCATGAGGGAGGGCTTCTCAGCAGAGGGGATGGCAAGTGCAAAGGCCCTGAGGTAGGAGGAACTTTCCTTATACCATTTTGAAGCCAAGTATGGCTAAAGCTTAGTAAGGGGCAGTGGGAGGAGGTTTGTAGATTATAGCCATGGAGGTATTTGCATCTTATTCTAAGAACAATGGCAGTCTTTGGAGAGTTTTAAATGTCCATCTACCCTGGTCCCCCAGAGCTGTCTCCTGGGGAAAATGCCTAAATCTGAGTATGAATCCTAATCCTCAGCTGTGTGACCTTTGAGTCCAAAATTTCTCATCTGTAAACAAAGCTAGTGAAATCCTCCTGGTAGGGTTGTTATAAGAACGGAATGCAGCAGTGCACAATCAGGTGGAGAGCAGCTGCCAGTCACTATCATGTACCTGGGCAGACATGTTCGAGCACAAGGACAGGTGCACAGAAGTGCCATGAGTCCCTGTGGTGGAGACGGGCAATGCCACTCAGGGAGTGCAAGCAGTGCGGCATCTTCACATAGACCCCACCACCACCACCACCAACCCTGACTCAACCACAACCATCAGAAAGTGCCCATTGCTCCTGCACCCTGGCTCTGATCCTCTGTGGCTGACAGGCACTCAGCATGGCGCCCAGCTAGCTCGGTCATGCCCCTGTCTCAACCTCGCTCTGCTGTGTTGTTTTGTTTTTCAGTTCTCCTTGTTGTCTTTTCTCGAAGATCTGGACCCAGGTGAGTGTGTGGGTCATCCTGCGGCTTCTCACCAATCCCAGTCTGGTTCTAGAATGAAGAGAAGGGGACCTAAGCATGGGATGTCAGGCTGTAACTGATTCAGGTGTGTCACAGGCACTTTTGAGAATTTCCCAGAGTGCAATGCTTTGCACAGTTTTGAGTTGCTCACGGACATCCCTGGTGCCTGGTCTCGGGACCCCCTGGGAAAAACTGCTGGAGTCACCCAACTCCTTGATTTTATAGAGAAAGAAACTGATGCCCAGAGAGGGGAAGAAACTTGCTCCTGGTCACAGAGCACATTAGCGGCTGTTGTCAAATCTTCTCCTCTGCTTTGGGGAAACCCACAGATACTCTCAAAATGCCCCACTTACATATTCCTCCCCAATGCCACGGATGCTCTCCGATTGTGGGGGGCCAAGAGCCTGGCCCCAGGCTGGCTCCTGTGCCGCCCCACTCACTCCAGGCTGCTCCCAAGGCTGAGCCCCCCCTACTGGTGACAACTTCTGCTGGCACTTCACCAGGTCTCCTCCCCCCAGTTGGTTTGTTTCCTGCACCCCACCCAGTGGGTCCTGTCTCACATAGACTCTCAGTCCCACGGAGTCAGGTCCTCACCTTCTCCCTTCCCTGTTCCCTCTGCCTGGCACCCACAACAGTGCCCGGCCTAAAGGGCTAGTCCTTCGTGCCACGTCACCCCCTGACTCTGGGTCCCAGCCTCCCTTTGCTGCTCTGGGCCCTGGGGCAGAAGACTTCTCTTACTGCTCTGTCTGGCCAGAGGCCAACATTCCTGACTATAGGAACCTGGGCTGGGCACCCACAGGGGACCAGAGCCAGGCAGGCAGCACGTGAAGGCTGCAGTCACATCTAAACTTTGAATCACAGATTTATTTGCAACAAAGATGGCGGCCACCAGGCCAAATTCAGTTTGACAGCCAATATTCTCTACAGCAAAGCTCAGAATGGGCAGAATGACTTATGCCTGCACAAAGCCAGTAATGCCAGGTTTTCCTTTCCCCCCACGCAATCAGAGAGCATTTGTGGCATTGGGGAGGAATACACGAGTAGGGCATGAGGGGTTTTGAGCGTGTCTGTGTGTCCCCGAAGCCGAGGAGAGTATCTGACAACAGATTGTTCCCTTCCTCAGGAGGACCCCTTTTTGGAGGGATCCCCTTGCTGCCAGCCATGCCCTCATCCATACATGGAGTCCAGGAGGGGCCAAAACCAGGGGCAAGAAGAGCGGCTTCCTCCCCAGCCGTGAGCGTGGGCACAATTAAAGGGCTCCCTGGGCCTTGGCGTCAGAGGCACAGAGCTTCAGAAGATGTGGGGTGACAGAATGGAAGAAACAGGGGTGCAGAAGACTGATGGGCCTTACTCCCCTCACGTATCTGAAGAGCAATCCCATCCCTTGCCTATGAGGCAAACTTGTGGAAATCAGAAGTGTCTTTGTGTTAAGCTGCCAGAAGTTGTAAAAGATGCCTGCCATGAGGATGTGACCCTCTGGAATCGTACAGGGAACAACTTGAAGAACTGTAAGCAGTGGCCCTCATGAACGGGAATCACAGAAAAGGGAGCAGATTCGGTCTTTGTGTCTAGAAGGTTGACAGCTCTTGGGAAGCGATGAGTTCCCCATCACTGGAAGTGTTTAAGCACAGGCGGAAAAAAACATGACCACACACACATGGAGAGGGGAGCATCAGATTTAACATCCCGAGAAACGGGGCTTCCCGAGAACTCTGCCGACAGCTTCTGATGGCTCGATGAGTAGATGAAGGGACGCTGAAGCGGGCAGCTCCTGAGCTGTGGACTGCATCCCAGGGTATTTCGTCAGCCTCTAGCTGTGGCCTGGGATGAGACATGGGCAGGCCTTTCTGCAAAGAATAGATTAGGTATAAAAAACATCCCTGTTAGGTGTCTGATTTAATTTCACACAGGGGTTGGCTTTGATGGAATTTGTCAGATCCCTGCTGGCTCTAGAAAATAACGAGGTGAAGGCAACACGGAGCTCATGCCTATGGGCAAGCTGCTTCTGTGGCTGGTCTTGCTGGAGACGGAGCACCACAGGGCTTCTGGGGCAGAAGGCACCTAGCCACAGTCCCCAGTGGGTGGTGGAGAAGGAGGCCATCAAACAGTGCAGACTCTGCCCATGTCCCCAAAGCAGGTGACACAATAGCCAGCAGGCCTGTGGAAACGCCTCTTCAAAGCTGGCGTGGCTCTGCCTGGCAACACAGGCTGAGCCCATCCATCAGCTGTCCTGCTGCCTGCCAGGGAGGGTCTCTGCTGTGCTTGCCCCGTCAGCCAGATCGGAAGCATCAAATGCAGCTTGACAGGGTTGGGGTTTGGGGGAGGCCCTTGGAGGAGCTGTCTGTGCCGCAGTGATGGATGCTGCCAACAGGGACGACATTCCGGGGATTTTTATTCCGTTCCACACATCTGGCAAGCTCCTTAACCAGAGCAGCTGCAAAGCCCCCATCACAGGAACTCTGAGGTCTTCTGAGGGACCCCAAACACAGACCATGCTAACTCTGGTCAAGGGACCTTCGAGCATATGCTTAAGATTTCCCAATGGGTATTATTTCCTGAAAGCCAAAACCCATGGAGTTGCACGAAATCCAAACCCACAAGAGGTTCCAAGATAGTAAAAAGGCAAACAAGACTTGGGATTAGGTGGACTTGGGTTATGGTGCCACCCCCATTGGCCTTAGCTTTTCCTTAGCTGTAAAATAGGAATCATAATACCCTCGCCATAGGATTGTTTAGGGTTAGATAAGATGGAGTGCAACCACATTTGTTTAGTGTCTGATACATAGAAAACACTCAGTGTATTATAGCCTGCTATTAACTCCACATACTCTCACCATTCTTCCTGATAATTTCTGGAATTAGAAAGTATTAGACTGATAAGTTGTTTTTCTACAACCTACCAACTTTATGTCAGGCTGTGATCCTTCTCTACCCAGGAAGCATGTGGGAAAGTTTCTAGATGTCTACAGAACTCATCAGGCATTTTCTTTACTAAATACCTTTGACCCAAATCTCACATGGTTTTCTGTAAATTCCTCATTTGCTCTGCTTCAAGCAGACATTTCTTTCTTTCTTTTTTTTTCTTTCTTTCTTTCTTTCTTTCTTTTCTTTTTTTTTTTTTTTTTTTTTTTTTTTTGCTGTGTGCAAGGCAGAAAGTTGGGCCACAAAGGAAAAAGTCAGTCTGTCAAACACATGCATTAACTATACACGGGGTTCTTTGCTGGGCACGGTGGGGTAAACAGAGAAAAAAACAATGGAACTTACTCTTGCTCTTAAGAATCCACTCATCTACTTAGAGGAAACAAATCAAATAGACCAAGTAGCCAATAGAGAGCACTATCTGAGATCCAAACATCAAACCTGAAGCCCTCCAGCCAAGTTGGCCACGAAGGAATGCCCTTGTATCTAAAATTCTTTTCCCACCGACAACCCAGTATCAGTAAAGCTCTGCCAGTTTGTTATTGCTGCGTAGGGCACTACCCCAAACTTAGTGGCTTAAACCACTGACTATGTACAGAGTGGCCATAAAGTTCATGTGCAATTTTAAATTGCACACAGACTTTACCTCCACCCTGTACTTAGACTTAATTCTTTAGGCTGGCAATTTAGGCTGGGTTCAGCTGGGAAGTTCTTCTGGTCTGCATTAGGCTCAGATGATCTTGATTGGGCTTGCTCCCACGTCTGCAGTCAGCTGGTGGACTGGCTGAGGTCTCATTTTGCTGATCTTGATTGGTATTCCTCACATATCTGAGGCCTCTGCTTGGATCACTGGGCCTGCTGCTTTTCTCATATTCTTTTATGCTCTTGCAGAACCAAGAGTTGCAGGCCAAACTGTTCCCATGGCAGTTACAGGGGTGCAGGACAGAGAGAGAGAGAGAGAGAGAGAGCAAGTGTGAGCACAAGGCTTTGAGCTAGCACACCGTCCTTCCTCCACACATGTATTAACTAAAGCAAGTCCCAAGGTCAGCTTGGACCCAAGAAGTGGGAAAACTGACTCTATCTGTGGGTGGGAGTTGCTGCAAAGTCATATTGAGGAGTGTGGATATAGGAAGGGGTGGGGAATAGAAGCTACTTTTGTCATCAGATTGGCTCATACCAAACCAGGTTCCTAGTGTGGAACTTGAGGCCACCAGACTTCCATGTAGTGACTTTTAACTCTCTCGCCTCTTCATTCCCCTTTGATCTCTTTCCCTGGCTGGCTTTCTTTCTACCCACCTCAATCAAGGACCTGGATTCCAGAAAACAGAAGGCCTTGCTTAGCCTTGCTTAGCAGGAATATGATTCAAAATCTACATACTTTATTTCCTCTTAGCTTCAGGGAGAGATGAGGAGACCTTGTTAGTAGTGTGGATCGAGTCCTCTCATGGATATCGCATTCACCCCTCATTACCAGGAAAAGGCACACTATTCCTTTTACCTAAGAATCTTCCCCATTTCCAAATGTCTGCAAAAGGAGAAATTCTTACTGACCTAGCCAAGATTAGCCTGCCTGACCCCCAACCTGTGGGAGAAGCAGGAGCAAACCCAAGTGCACTTGTCTATAAACACTTATTGGGAAAAAACAAAAATACATTTTTCAAAGAAAAAGAAATCAATAAGCGATGCAATCGTCTCATTACCAGACCCCATTGTCTCTGCCAAAATGTCAGTTTGAAATCTTTCACGTCGAACTCAGGAAAATATATTTTTTTTCCTTCTCACTTCCTCGCTCTCTTTCCCTGCTTTGTCGTGCTGGGTGGAAGGAAACTTTATTTGCTCCAGGAAGACAATAGTCTTATCTTCAACCTAGATCCTCATCCCTGGAAAGGTGGCCTCCCCCAGGAGCATTTCCATAGTGGGGAAAAGCAGCTCGGGAGAAATAATGAGCCAGCCAAGGGAGTCTTGACTTGACACTGTGATAAATGAGGTGAAACTTTGGCAAGGAACCAGAGTTGGCGTATTCAAAAAAGAAATAAAAAGATAGTTCCATTTTAATGGGAAATATGAAACAGCCATTGTGCAAAAGTCGATTTTTCAAAAGCCAAAGAGATAAAGACCGTTACAGAATGACTGAGAGACGAGTGAGATAATGTGGTTGATAATCAGGCTTCCCTAAAGTGCCATCCTCCAGGCCATCAGCCGGCTCCGTGGGAGGCCGTTTCAAGTCAGCTATCTGCATGTGCTCCCGCTTCATTATCATATGCACCTCTGGACAGTTTCCTTGCAGCTTCAAACTTGCCACACTCCCGCCAGCCGGAGAGAGCAAAGTCAACCCAACTTTCTTCAAATCCCAAACTTCCACAAAACTACCAGCCACAGAGCAAGCAGCATCTCCCATGGCTCTAGAGAGCAAAGGACTTGAGTCCAGCCTCATCCACTCCTGCTTTTCCCAGAGACTGGCCCAGCACGAGGTTCACAGCTGAGGGTGACTCCATTCACGGTCTTATCTTTCAGTGGGCATGAGCCCGTGAACTTTCTCAAGGTCGTCCTTGGGCAATTCCTAATGAGCGGGCTGCATATTCAGTGGGGATGGTTGGCCCCGTTTTCCTGAGGGTAAGCGTGGATGTATTCAAGACAATATAAGATGCCAGTTGAAGCAGTCAAGTGAGTGAAATGTAGCCGTTTTATGAAGACAAACTGCCTTAGCTCATATCCTGTCATTTATTAGCTATGTGACCTTGGCCAAGTTACTCAGCCTCAGGGTTCTCAACTTAAAATAGAGTTTAAAAACTCCTAGATTTTTGTGGGAGTGAAATAAAATGGTGCATGTGAAGTGCTTAGCACAAGGCCTGCCATAGTAAAGGCCTCAATAAATAGTATCTGTTAGAATGACTCTATAGATAGAACTTGGAAGTACTTTGATGCCAAGACCTAAAGGAAAGTGAAAAGTTTCTTTGACTTCACTAAGCTAAGAGGACCACTGACGTCTCATGGAGAAATATTATTCACAGAAACTCCCAACCATGTGCTCGAGTGTCACGTGATGTGACCCTAGGCAGACACCATATAGGACCCTGGAAACCAGCTAGGCCCCCATCCTCTGCCTGCTGTTCAAAGATGAGAAAACCAAGGTGCCAAGAATACAGTTGACTATTCAAGGTCTCTGTGAGTGGGAAGGCAGGACTCGACTTCTTCTCCCCATTTCTAATCAGGTGCTCTTGACCCTACCAAGGCCTTACATCCCCCAAATGAAAAGGCACAAAGCCTGAAACCCTCCCACCCACCCCTGTCACTGTGAGGAGCTGAAAAGACACAGGATTCTTCCTTCAGGGCTTTGAACCATTTGGGAAAAAGGTGTTTGACTAGATAAAATGCTGACCTACTTGAGTCTGGTGATAGGCTTTCTATATCCTGTTCCCACCCCTGTAGATTGGACTCCCAACTACTATGAGAACAGCCCTGAATATTACGACGAGGAAGAGAATACCAACAGCACATCTGCCTACTCTGACAACCCCGACTGGTACTACGAGGAGGACGGTAGGTCCCACATCTGTCTCCTGGGGGGAGGGTGGCATGTCTGGAGGGGAGCGTATATGTGATAATTTGCAAGGGCCTCTATCTTTTTTCTTCTCTGACCAGCATCATAAAATAAGTATCAAAGAATTCACTGAGACGGGCTTCTTTGCCAGTTGGGATCATACACTGTAAGGATCATACACTGGGGAGGTTCTTAGATTCCACATCCCCTGCCCTCAAGTGACAGATGAAATAAGTGAGGCTAAGAGAGGTGCTGATTTGGTCAAGGTCATGCGGCAGGTTAACCCAGCACCACCCAGGTCTTTTGACACTGACTAGCGATCATGGTCAAAATCAGTCCCATAGCTCTTAGACTGCGGGTCAGGTCCTAAGTATGGCAGAGAGTCTGCATTAGTGTCCAGTGCCAGACTGCAGCGTTCAACAGTTTGGCTTTGGGACTTTCCTTCCCTCTGCCTTTGCTGTGATTTTCTTTCACCTCTCACTCTTCAGAAGCTTTCCACAGCTGTTAAGGGGTATGTGTATGTGTGTACCCCACATGTGTGCCTCTACCACGCTTTTGTTTTTTGTGTGGCTTCTTAACCCAAGAAATGGGACAGAAAGGAAAATAAGAATCTGCGCCCAAGCGAGGCCATGTGACTAAACCAGGAGAAGGACGGGGAAGCACTTAGCAGCTGGAATAAAAGCTGTGTAACTGTGCGAAGTGGCCTGGAAGGCAGGGCCAAGATACAGGGCACCGGGGAACATCAGAAGGAACCATCAAAACAAGAGCTGGGCCCAGGGATCCTAGTTCCTGAACCAAAGAGCAATGTGTGTGAACAGAAGGATAAAGAATTCCCCAAGGGAAGAGCCATTCAGACAACCATGAAAAGCCAAAGGCACAGATGAAATATGACAAAATCTAACTGAACAAGTAGTTGAAGAAAGATGAAGGCCACTGGGTCATTTCCTCCTCGCCGCCGATTCTTCTGTCACCCTCTTGCCTTTGGTCTTCTCTCCTGATGTTCAGAAAGCTCGTGTTTCATTAGGGGTGGGTTTTCTTTCCCCAATCCTGACCTCCACCCCTGGGCACTGGAAGTAGGGGAGGTCTTCAGGCTTGTGAAATGCCTTCAGCATCAGAGACAGACCCCGTGGCACTCCCAGCAAGACTGGGAGGAGAAAAACAGAGATGAGGCAAAAGGGGAGTTTCTCAATGAGAAAAGGCCCCATCCAAAGCCACGCCGAGGGGAGACAGCCACGGTTCCTTCTCGCTGCTCCTCTGACTCACCTGCATCCCTCTCTGGTGGGGTGACTGCAGTTTTTCTTGCAGTTTAAGGACAATGTATGTTTTTCTCCTTTTCCCCAATCATTGACTATACAGTTCCTTCCCTTGTTTGGGGGCAGAAGACTGACATTAGATGAACAAGTGGGGACTTTCCACCTGCTGTCCCTTACCAATATTGATTTCTATCTGTGTGTCCTAGATGCGTGCCAACCCAACCCCTGTGAACATGGTGGGGACTGCCTCACTGATGGGACCACCTTCACATGCAGCTGCCCAGCCCCTTTCTCTGGGAACAAGTGTCAGAAAGGTGAGTGCATCTCATTAGAGTCTGTCTACCCTCTGAATTAAACAAGAGGCAATTCCTCCTCCAGCTGTAGGGGTGAGGAGCAGCCGAGTGATCCCATAGAAAGGATTAAAACTGCAGGTATTGTATCCTGCATGAGGGATTCCTCTTCAGGGTCCCAGGCAGCATCCCACTGAATCCTCACCCCTGCATTGTGAGAAAGAACTAGGGTCTTCACTCTGCAGATGCGCAGATTGAGGCCAAGAGGGGATAAGAGCTGGACTCCAAGCAAGAGGTACTCCAAACTCAGAACTTTGTGTTTAGAGTGTTTGACTAACTACAACAGAGAAAGAGTGTCCTTGCATGGAAGAGGATCTCAGGGGACGTAAGGCTTAGCTCTGTTAGAGAAAAGGAGCCCAGAGATTGCAGGGGACTTGCTCATGGTCACACAGCTAGTTAGGTGTAGAACAGACATTACAGTCCATGCTCTTTCATCCTGACATCCTCACTGTGTCTGCCTTTAGTGAGCTCTTGTAGGCCTAACATGAGGCTGTGGGATAAAACATCAAGAATAGATATTGCATGGCCTAAGTGTACCCCTAGAGAGAGACTGGATTGTTTCCAATCTGGCAACCGTGTAACTGTGGGTGGGAGGCAGGAAGTCTGTGTGTATACACACACATACATAAGACTCTTCCTCCCGCTCTCTCATATAGGGCTTTGTGTTTGACTTCTTTCCTCTGTCTCTGCTTTACTTATTCCCTTCATTTTCCTTTCTTTTCCTTCTTTCTTATTTCCTTCCTTCCTTCCTTCCCTCTTTCTCTTTCTTCTTCTTTTTTTTTTTTCAGAGTGTCCCTCTGTTTCTCAGGCTAGAGTGCCAAGGTGTCAGTCTAGCTTACAGCAACCTCACACTTCTAGGCTCTAGTGAACCTTCCTGATTCAGCCTCCCAAGTAGCTGGGACTACAGGTAGTAGTCGCAATTCCCTGCCAAATTTTTTTTCTATTTTTAGTAGAGAGGGACTCTCACTTTGCTTAAGCTGATCTTGAACTCCTGGGCTCAAGGGATCCTCCCACCTCAGCCTCCCAGAGTGCTAGGATTACAGGCATGAGCCACCACAGTTGGTCTTTACATTTAAGTCCATAAATTACTTCAGTAGATGTTTCAGGATGGTAGGGGCTATTGGGGATAAACATGATATCAGGGCTTATCTCTCCCCTTCCCAGAAAAAAGATGAAACTACGAATGGAGTATAAAATCAGCTGTAAAATGGAGAGACTAAAATAAGACTGTGCTTGATGAAGATGTAAAAATTATCAAAGCTTTTATTAAGATATAAAATAAAGAAAAGACTACAAGCACCAGAAGGAACACGGGAAGGGATCACTCATGGTCCAAGGATAAGAGAGGAGAGAAGCCTTGTCCTGGTGTGGTGTGGCATTTCAGCACCATGGACAAGGCCACACGCGCTCTGGCAGCCACCCCCACTCCCCAAAAGTACCGTACAAGTATCACTCTATGTAAAATGGGTCCCAAATACTGTCCTGTGCTTTGTCTCCATGAATCTCTTACAGTGCAAAACAAGTGCAAGAACAACCCATGTGGCCGGGGCCAATGTCTCATTACCCAGAGTCCTCCTCACCACCGCTGTGTCTGTAAATATCCTTACACAGGTCAACACTGTTCTAAAGGTAAGTGGTGGAGGCCCCTTCCTTGCCAGGCTTTCTCTGCCCTGGGTCATTCCCGAATCCTACTGTGTAAAAGTCCAGATGCATCTGGTGATTTCAGGGCATCCAAGATGGCCCTTTTCATGAGGATTTCTAAAGATTCAGGACCCCTGGAAAGCCCAGTGGAAATTGACTAATCTATGTCCTTTCCAGTCTGAAAAGAATAATGCTGAAATTCATTTTCTCCAGGAAGTAGGTCCTGATTGATTCTTGAGAGGGGCCATATAGGGAAATTAATACATATCGAGTCACAAGTCAGACACTATTGCAAGAGACTTACATTCTCTCTCGAATTCTCCCAAAAACACATCAAGGAAGAGGTTTACAGAAGAAGGATCTGACATTTAGAGAGATTCACTAACTTACTCATGGCCACGTGGCTATCAAGGGGCAGAGCCAAGGTCAGCCCAAGGCGCATCTGTACATTTGTTAGAGTGTCAGTAGGTCTGTCTTTTGCCTTTGGTGACCCATGTTTTGTGAAAGGATGGACAGCAGAAGAGTGCCACCAGTATCCCCTGTCATCTCAGCTGTAGGCTGCACCTCCTTCTGAAGAACCTTCCTGGCCCCATTCCTGTGTTCACAGTGGCTCCTGTGTGCAGGCCAAACCCCTGCAAGAACGGTGGCACCTGCTCCCGGAATAAGCGGAGATCCAAGTTCTCCTGTACCTGTCCTGACCACTTCAGGGGCAAATTCTGCGAAATAGGTATGGGTCTCTACCACCACATCAGAAATTCAGGGCAACAAGCTTCTGGAATCATTTTCTGTTTGGGTTTTGTTGCCACAATGTGGTTCAAGTTAAGTCCCCCACATTATACTATTGCCTCAGTCTTCCGACCTAAGGGCATGGGGTATATTTGCTCCATGTAAAGAAAGTAATAAACTGTGATATAGTTCAGGCAAAGCAAATTACCAGGGCATCCCTTGGTCTCAGCCCACCCATCAATTCTTATGTGAGCCCAAATTAAGGGAACTAAGCTCCCACCTTCCACAACCACTATAGATTTTATGTTTTTAAGTAGGGTTAATTGCTGAACATTCAAGCACCTTTGGTCTAAAACTTTGTGGTCAAATCTTAAGGTGATAAATATTGAGACCTGGTCCTATTAGCACTTGATACACCCACCAAGCCCTTTCTGATAGCTGTGTGCCCATTGCTATCAGTTCTCACATCCCTGCCTGCTCTCTCCGAGGTCCTGATGACTGCTACGTTGGTGATGGCTACTCTTACCGAGGGCAAGTGAGTAGGACAGTCAACCAGCACTCGTGCCTTTACTGGAACTCCCACCTCCTCTTGCAGGAGAATTACAACATGTTCATGGAGGATGCTGAGGACCATGGCATTGGGGAGCACAACTTCTGCAGGTCAGAATTATCTTCTTCTCTGTGCTCACTCCCGGTCACTTGATTTTAAAACAGATCATTGAAAGTCATCAGCCTTCTTTCCGGCAAGATTTTCCTCCACTGGATAGGTGAGGTGATGCTGCTATAACAAACAATCCCCACGTCTCAGTGGCTCAAGAACATCAAAGTGTATTTCTCACTAATAACAATGCGTGTGTCATGTGGGTTGGTGGTGGTGATGAATTGGGATTCAGCTCCACAAGTTCAAAAGGACAAGAAGAGACTGGAAAATGGAACATAGCTTTTTTACTACCTCAATCTAGAAGCAAAATAGTCACAGGGCCCCACCTAATTTCAATGTAGAAATGTAGAGGAGGAGATAGAATGTGTGTTGGGTATTTCAGTCTCTGCCCTAAGGATGTTCAGGCTTTCCCATGTGAGGACAATGCCAGCACCCTCCCTGCTGATGACCCTACCTAACTTCTTCCCCTTATGCTGGTTTCTACCCACTGCTGTGTCTCTAATCAAGGCCAATGACTTAGATGAGTCACATAGCAGTGATAGAGGTCCTTTGCGCAAAACACTAGTCACCTTCTACTTCATGGAACTATCTTCAGGGGCCCTGTCAGCCACCTTCCTCTGAGGATTCCCAAACCTTTCTAAGAGGAAACCCACTCTCACCATGTTTTTGTTGCTACTTTACTTCTCTGGCAAAGAAGGGTCTTCAGCAAGGATCTCATTTCTTTTTCCACAAAAAAACTCGATATTTCCCATGGATCTGGCACAAGACTTGTGAACTATTCCTCAGTCCATGGGATTGTCCTTTGGAAGTTAAAGTTTTGCCAAAAAGCCTATGACCACTCTTCCATGCCAGGATTTGTTAACAAGCCTCAGGATTCAAAAGGAATTTGGTCCCAGAAGGGGTATAAGAGCTTGGCACCCACTTATACAAAGGTTCTAGTGACTATGAGTTATTTTGGTTTGTATTTTAGAAACCCAGATGGAGACAAAAAGCCTTGGTGCTTCATTAAAGTTGGCAATGACAAGGTGAAATGGGAGTACTGTGAAGTCTTGGCCTGCTCAGCCCAAGGTGAGGCTCCAGCTGCCCAGAGGCTCCAAGGGTGGGAAGGTTGCAGATCCTTAGAATAACTTCCTGGTGCCCCACCCCCTGCCCAGCCTTCTCCCACACCTGCTCTATCAATTTCCATCCCAATGCCAATCTAACTCCCAACCCTCTGCTCCCTCCAGATGCCATGCAGCCTAGATACCTCTGTAAGCTCAGGCCAGGTGGTTCAGCTGTGAGTTTATATTCCTGGCTCCAAGTCAGTGCATCCAGCAGATATTTACCAAGGGCTTTCTATGTGCCAGACACTACACCAGGCCCTGGGTATACAGTGGTGATAAAACATTGGCTGAGCCCCCATGCAGTCTGTCCTGGCACTCCTCTGGGCCCACAGATGATGGAATGATGTACCCTCCTACCTTGACCCATGGGAGTTTCTCCCTGAACAGTTTCACATCTGCATCTTTGCTCTTATGGTTGCCTCTGTCTGGAATACTCCATCACATATCTGCTCTTGTCCATATCCAGCCATTCTTGGAGAACCAACTCAAGTATCCCCTCCTCTAGGAAGTCCTCCTTGATCTGTCAAGTGAAGTGTTGTCTCTTCCTCCTTACAAACCCCAAGAAATAAATCAAGGCACTACCCACATTACCCATGAACACTTACTGCTCTTTCCTCTTATCACAGTCATCTGTGCAAGTGTCTTATCTAACTTCTCCTACGTTATCTGGATATCCAGCCATTTACACTGAAAAAAAAATCCCAACTATGTGTACATTAGTGAATAACTAGCTGATACATACCCATTGATGGATATATATACTTACATTCACATTGATGTGTGTGTGTACACATTGATACTAAGAATAACATGCTTTGAAACAAGAAGTCTTCCTTGTTAATTCTATAGACTTGTTTGATGTTAATCAATACACTCAGCAAGTATCCTTTGTGCACCTACTTCATGCCCACCTCTGTGCACTAGTGTGTTCCCCACTCTAGGCCCTTGCTGGTCACTGACCAGGTCCTTCTTTGGGGATAGAAGGAGGGTGAATAGAGTGACATGTGTTTCTTGTGTCCTGCAGACCTCACGTACCAACAGGAAAACCCGACTGAGCCCTCAGGGTTTGAGTCCTGCGGGAGGACTGAGATAGCAGAGCGGAAGATCAAGAGGATCTATGGAGGCTTTAAGAGCACGGCGGGCAAGCACCCATGGCAGGCGTCCATCCAGACCTCTCTGCCTCTGACTGTCTCCATGCCCCAGGGCCACTTCTGCGGGGGATCACTGATACACCCTTGCTGGGTGCTCACTGCCGCCCACTGCACTGAGTAGGTGCCCATTGGGGACAGAGACCAGGGTGACTTGAGAGTACAGTGGTGCCCTCTCTTTTCCTTTTGAGCAGCGTCTTGGTAACTCTCGCAGGACTAAGAGATTTATCTAGCTCTAAGGGTGGAAGAGTGGCTGCTTAAAACCAAATGGAAAACAGCTACCGTGTCTCGAATGATCACCATGGGCATTGTGTGTATTACATGATGTTTAATCCTCAACTTTCTACTGGAAGACAAGCTAAAGGGAGAGAGGGGGGTTTTATCTGTTTTATTACTTGTAGAATTTCCAGTGCCTCAAGCAGGTCTCTTTGTGCCTAGCAAGGGTCAGTAAATATTTGTGGAGAGAAAGAGTTTATTGTTATTCCCCTTTCATAAGTGAGAGCTCTGAGTCTTGGGAAGGTTTAACACCTTGCCTGAAGTCATGTGGACAGGAAGCAGGCGGATGAGATGTAAATCCCATTCTGTCTGCTTCCTTAACCTCTTGTGAACTACTCCATATTTCATGCCATCACCAAAAGCCTTCTGGGTCAGGTGTCTTTAGCCAGGCCTCCTGTGTGCCTCAGAGATGCAAGCAGCTTTTGGGGAGCTAAGAGTCATAAGCTCCTAGTTCCCTGTGTTCGTGGTCAGAGCTGGCCCCATGAAGCCCAGGTTTGGGAAGTAGCCTTGAAGGGCTTCCAGTCCATCTTGTGATTAAATTTCTTCTGGGATTTTAGGAGGTGCTCCCCAAGAGATATTAAGCAAGCAAACATTAGCACTGGCAGAGATTTTAAAAGATTTGCTCAAGATGGCAGTGGCTGTTCTTTCACAAGTCCCAGGGAGAATGGGAAGTCTCCCCAAAAAGTGGGATAAAAGTTCTATCAGGAGTTCACTTCCATTAATAAAGCAGTTTCCTCTTATCTTCGTATCTGGACCCCACAGCAGTTTCTGTGAGTGAGACAAAGATTACAGATGAAGAGGCCAGGGCCAAGAGGTCGGGGGCTTTGTCAAAAGTCACCCGGCCCATCAGGAGCAGAGCCGGGGTTTGGCTTCAGTCTCACATTCCAGGGTTATTTTCTGACCATTTTATTTTCTTATCTTGCAGCATAAAAGCTAAACATCTGAAAGTGGTGCTAGGGGACCAGGACCTGAAGAAGACAGAATTCCATGAGCAGAGCTTTGGGGTAGAGAAGATATTCAAGTACAGCCACTACAATGAACGGGACGAGATTCCCCACAATGACATTGGCAAGTCTCTCTATCGCGGGTTTGCTGTGGGTCTTGAACCTGAGGCTTGATTCTAGAAGGTGTTTGTGGTCACTTTGGTCCCCTGAAGATCCTGTAAGGTGGAGAATATATTCCTGGTCTTTTTAGAGCTAAGAGTGTGTATTGGTGTTGTGGCTATGTGGGCACATGCACTTATATTGAGAGGCAGAGATGCTGCGAACGTTGTGCCGTGAATGAGCTTGGCTTTGAATCCCGGCCCCCTGACTTCCTAGCCAGGGGCTGGTCACTTGCCCAAGCCTCAGTTTTCTCTTGTGTAAATGGGGACAGTGATGTGCATGTTAAGTAGTGACAGGATGTGTATACAGTGACAGACGTGCTTGGGTGCAGAGGCGCTGATGTTCTTAAGCCACTGGCTGCTCAGCTTTCTGCTCCGTCTCCCTTCACAGACCCTGACCTTACTCTCCTTCCTTGTTAGTTCCTTTTTCACTTACAGTCTGTTTTTTTTTTTTTAATGGATTAAGAATGATTTTGAACTCCATTATTATTTCTCGGTATTACTCTCAGTCTGAAGCCATACTCCTCCTCAGGTGGAAGTTCAGAACATGAAATGACCAAGGAAAATGTTTTTCAGGAGTGTGAGGTGGGGTGGGGTAGGAGGGGATTTGCTCCAGTCTCCTCCCAAGGTAAGTCCACACTGATGCTTCTCTGACAAACAGGCAACATTATACCCTCTTTTTCTCCCCACCTAGCTTTGCTCAAGTTAAAGCCAGTGGATGGCCACTGTGCTCTGGAATCCAAATATGTGAAGACCGTGTGCCTCCCCGACGCTCCCTTTCCCTCTGGGACCGAATGCCACATCTCTGGCTGGGGAGTTACAGAAACAGGTGAGTCCAGCTTGCATCCTCCCGTGACTCAGGCCAGCTGCCTCAGCCAGAGGAGAAAGGGCCAAACTCCAGCCCTCTTTTGAACTTCAAGTGTTATATTCAGAATGTATGATCAAAAGAAAACTTCTGCCTTGTTGCTCAAGCTCTAGTTAAATCTCATCACCTGTTTCCTCGACCCTTCCTGATCTCCATGTCTGCCCCTGCCCCTGCCCCTGCCCCTGGGTACTTGGTTTTTATCAAGCATTGACCCTGGATCCCTCTTTTCTTCCTTTGACAGATTGGAAAGAGAATTTCCTAGAAAAAAAAAAACATAAATTTTGGAGTCAGACAGACTTGAATTAGATTCTTGGCTTTTTCACTGAACAAGTGATTTTTAGTTTCCCAATAGTTACCTCCGAGGTTTGGAATCATGATCAGAGGAGATGATAGGGTTCTACAGAGATATTCACTAAGTGAGGTCCTGGAGGGCAGAGGGCAGGCTTCGTTCATCTCTGTCCCTCCCATGCTGCTTTGGTCAGGACCATCAATAGAATTGATGTTCCATATTGTTAAGTCAAGCTATTGATTTGGCTTTAGCGTTTGGTCTTATCCAAAACAGTAACCTAACAGTCACTTTCTTCATAGTACTGGCAAGACTACATCTTCTACCACAAAAAATTCAGAGGAATATTTCAAGTCTTTCCCAAATACTCAAAATATATTTCCCTTCCTTCTCAAATCCTGTCTTTAATAATGGACAGCAAGAATCACTTTAAATAGGTCTACATTGATGAAGAAAGTACAATATAATATACAAGTTTGTCAGACGCTTTGGGAAAGGAGATTTCTGGCTAGTTTGATTTAGAGTCAACAGGAAACTGTTTTTGTAGCCACCTTCCTTGTGGTCCATCTGAACCTTTCAACTTCAGCTCTGTTCAATATGGTCTGGTCAGTGTGGTGATGTCTTAGATGGGGATCTCATGGGGCCTCTAGAATTATTTTGTTTCTCATGAATAGGCCTCTAGGACTTTATGTTCAAAGTCAATGATATGTTTTGATCAATTGCATCATCTTTGGGGGTGGTGGGGAAATGCTGCTTTAGGAAGACCAGGGCACAAAATCCATCCAGCCATTCATTCATCCACTAAGAATCTGCTCTGTGTCAGCCCTTTGGTGAGGCATAGGAAATTTTAAAATGGTTATGACACCATCTCTGTCCTCCCGAACCTCATGGTCTCATTGGGAAGATAGAAAAGGGAAACAAACACTCTGGAGCACCATGGTCAGTGCAGTAGTTAGTCAGCACAAGCCTAATGTGGGCTGCACGCAAGGCTTTCCTGCCTGTCTCCTGGGAAAACCCTTTACTGAGCTGAGAGACAGTGGCCTATTCTTACTACCACCAGTTTCTGATGGAGCGCCACCTTGGTCCCTACAGCAATGACTCTTTTCTCCACTCCACAGGGGAGGGGTCCCGCCAACTCCTGGACGCCAAAGTCAAGCTGATTGCCAACACTCTGTGCAACTCCCGCCGACTCTACGACCACATGATCGATGACAGCATGATTTGTGCAGGAAACCTGCAGAAACCTGGGCAAGACACCTGCCAGGTCAGAGACTCCACATGGTGCTTGGACAAGGACAGGTTCATGGGATGACTGGGCACAGAGGCCCCTTACAGCCCAGGCTGGGAGTGACTTTACTTGTTAGAAAGCTAAGGCACAGTCAGGGAACGTCTGTCCCTGCCACATCTGGATACACGTCAATGCAAGGTGACCAAACATAATGACCACAGGGGTCACTTTTTCTACATTATCTTATTTAATTCTCACAGGACTCTGGTGGAGGGGATGTCATTGTCACCATGTTACAGATGTTTAGGGAATTTATCGTGGCTGAGAGCCATTGGATGGTGAGGGTCATGGCTAGAATCTGAACAACAAGGTCCGTGGGACAACACAGCCTGTGCCACATTGCTCTGCTGTGTTCAAATAGGAAGAAGGTACTTCTGGTCTCAGCGTTGGGGGGCTTGTCTGAAAAATCCCAGTGAACAGGAAATGTCCAAAGAAACAGTGGTTAGAAGGAAAAAGATGTGAGGCCTAGAATTTCATAATATTATTGGGTTTGTGTGTATGTGTCAGAGAGAGAGACAGAGAAAGAGAGAGAGATTTTGCCCTAGCAAATTTCATGGCCCTAGGGACTGCCTGACTCTCCCCTCCCTCAAGACCCCCCAGGATAGGACTTTGGGAACCCCAAGCTGCTGATGCCTGTGACAACCCAGAGAGTTAGAGAAATAGAAGAAGGTGACTTCACCAACTGGTGCCAAAGTGACCTCAGGTCCCCGCCCCAAGTCAAAGTCCATTCCCCATCATCCCTGTCTCTGCAGGGATCACACCACACAGGACACATCCTTCTCCAACTCCCAGGAACATCAGAGTTAGAATTTTCTGCCTATCGTCCTCAAAATCCATCCAGATGTCCTGGAAAACCCAGCATGTCCACATTCAAATCCTGGCTGCCTGATGAAATCTCCCTACAGAGGGACCCCACAAGGGTTGGCCGGCCTTGAGCCCACTATAAGGCCAAAATCAGGGGCTCTCCTTCTAGGGTTTGTGGTTCTCCTGGGCCCCCATCTCTTCTTAGGGGCCCTGAAAATTCATATGCTCAGAGGAGGGCATGGCCAGGTACATGCCATTTTCCCTAAGCTTCTGGAAGATGAGTTAAAAAAGAGATCGTTAAATTCCCTGGATAATTCAAGAGTTTCACCTGCAGGGAGACAGTTAGTTGTGGGTTTGAAACCTGGTTCTGTCTCTTACTGTGTGGCCTTTATTAACCACCAGAGTAATTCTCCCATCTCAGATGCCTACTCTATAAAATGGAACAAACATCCCCATCACGTTGTGGGGAAGGTTAAGAGAGAATTCATTTTAAAAACGGTTGGTGGCAGTGCTTAAGTAGGAGCGAGTGTCTGAGAGCTCTCTTCCTCCCCAGCATCCTCAGCGCTCAGTGAGGCTTGCTGGGAACCAGCACTGTTCTATGTCACTTTGTCACAGTTAATCCTCCCAGGAACCCTGGTGGGAAGGACATCTAGTACTAGCCAGTTTACAATGTGGGGACACTGAGCCTCAAAGCCATGTGTCTAGCAAGCAGTAGAGCCTGCTTTGGAGCCCGGAAGGTCCTCACAGACCATGCTGGGCCTCATGGCCCTGGGGCCCCTTCCTCCTCAGCTGTGTGTGGCCTGCTGGAAGGGCTCTCTCCAGGCAGGAGACCAGGCCCTGGTGGGCTGCCAGAGGAGCAAGTTGAGGGTCCCCAGGAATTCCCAGTCCCGGTATCTGTGTGACTAAGAGCCCTCACAGTCTCGGAGACAGAGGGCAGTGTTAGGGTCTCTTCCCCAGAAGCCTCATGCCATGTGAAGCCCGGGAAGGGCCTTCCCACTGCTCTCTAGAGAAGCATTCCCTGGGGAACAGTGGAGGCACCCCTAGTATGTTCTGGCTCATAAGGCTGACTTTGCGCCTCTGCGTCCCTTAGGGTGACTCCGGAGGCCCTCTGACCTGCGAGAAGGACGGCACCTACTATGTCTACGGCATAGTGAGCTGGGGTCTGGAATGCGGGAAGAAGCCGGGGGTCTATACGCAAGTTACCAAGTTCCTGAATTGGATCAAAGCCACCATCCAAAGGGAGGCTGGCTTCTAAGGTCCCGTCTTCTGAACTCAGAGCCCCTCCTCCTCAGTGCCGGGGCCAAGGGAGGCCTCCTAGGCAGCGACAGACACCCCCAGGAGCGTCCACGCACTAAACAGAGACAGCTGCTGCCTGGCAGGCCCTCCTGGCTCAGCACCTGCCCCCTCTCCTCAGGCTCTTTCTGCCTTCCCGAGTAACCCGAGAATAATGGAATGCACACAAAATATATATTATGTCTGTTTCCCTCAAACAATTGCACCCTCTCGAAAATCAGTGTTCACAGAGACTGCCCCCACCTGGGACATTTGCAAATGTGGATTACAGAATGCCCAGCGCCGGTGGGAGTCGGTCACCTTCACGCTTTGATTCCTCATCCCAGACACTAGAGCTCCTCAACTGACCCAGCCGACCATGTCTAGGTATCAGGGAGAGGAACAGAAATACAACATTCTCCATTTGCTTTCAGAGTTGTTATTTTAATAAAGGCAGATCTGGGTGGGCTTGTGGGCTATCTTCATAGCTTGCCACGTAAAGAACGTCTGGCAAGAACACGTCGTCTCCGGCTGGCTTTTCTCTCAAAGAACCAGGGTGGACGCTGTACACTCACAACAGCAGAGCCTTCTTCCTTTTGACGTGCAGAATCTCAGTGGCATCTGGGTTCACATCCCCCGTCTGATGATCTCCAACCTGCACTGCCTCCAGCCCCCCCTGCAGAAATCAAACAGCCCCCCTGAGTTCCAACGAAGCTCGCTTCCTGCTCCCACAGGACATGCTCAGCTACCCTGGGAGCAGCAGGCACACGCTCACGCTCGCCACCCCGCTGCTCTCCTCCACCCTCCCCGGGAAAAAGGACCCTCAAGGCAAGAACAAGAAAGAAACAAAGCCAGTCCCTCATTTAGACTGGCATCTTTCTTCTGAACAAAGTAGGGTTCAAAATGCAAACGGTGGTAGCCAGCAAGTCCCTGACCCTTTCTGCGAATGTAACAAGCAAGCAGTCAGCACAGCCCGGCTGCCCTGGCCCGGGATTGATGTCGCCCCGGTAGGTTTGCCTCTGCAGAACTAATAGCTGTGACTTCAGAGAAAGCCCTGCAGGAAGTTTAACCCGCGTGTCATCTTCCCGATCATCTCAGACCCATGAAATTAGGCGCCTTGCTTGAGCTGCATTTCACACTTCTTTAGAGCTAGCTGACCTTTGGCCAAAAATAAACTTTGAAAAGAAACAATGAGTTTGTCTTTCCCCATGGCCTTGCAAGCTAGGGTGGGTTGGCAGCTTGCTACTCACGTGAGCCCCCCGGAGACCCAGGCCCCTTGCGTTGGCCAGTTCTGCCGCCCGCCGAGCCATTTCCACTTTGTAGGAGCCAGGAGGGGTCCAGCCAACACCTCTGGTCAGGTTCAAGTCTGATTTGTATTTGACCTTGGGGAAAGGAGGGGAGCAAGAGGAATAGGTCAGCAGGGTCTAAGTAAACAGGACTGAAGAGGCAGCCACACGATGTGGGAGGCAGTGTTGTCAGGAAAGCCACAGTGAGGGGAGCAAATCCGTGTTCAGCTGGAGCTCGGGAGGATCCTGTGTGCTGTGGGCTGGGCCAGCACGTTGCCCTGTCCCATTCGGTGATGGGAGCTGCAGTGGGGCAGAGGACACCTGCTCCTACCTAAACGCGCTCTGTGGCCTGCGGGAAGTCACTTCCCTTCCTTGGGCTTTAATTTCTCCCCAGGGAAAGGGCAAAGTCTGAGTGAGGTGATTACTAAGCTCTCTTGGAAGCAGCACATGGCCACCAAGGGCCTGGGCTCTCACATCAAGTCAAGCACGGTTCATATCTCAGGCCTGCCACGTACTTGCTGTGTGATGTTGACTAAGTCACCTAAGCCTTGGATTCCTCATCTCTAACATGGGGCAGTCCTAGGTTGTTGTGTTATGTGGCATGATGCTTAGAAAGGATTTGACCCAGAGCCTGGCCCACAAAAGAGAATCAAGAAATGGCAGCTGCTGTTATTGTTCCTGCTGGCACCAGCCCAGCTCCCCCCAGAAGGGAACAGGGAATTATGGAAGTGACACCAGTGGAAGGGGCTCAGCCAGGCGAGGGGAGGCGCTCACATCGCTCTGTAACTGGTGAGCCTTCTGGGCGTGCTTCAGGCCCAGCTGCTCTGGGTCGCTGGTGGGCTGGGGCAAGGGCTGCCTGTAATGCACATCGCTGGCCAGTTGCTGGCTCCTCTTGGCCTGAAGAAAGCCGGGCTGGTCTGTGCGGCTGTGGAACCGGGACCGATTCTTAGCAAAGTCCTTTCTGTACTCGTTGTCACTCTGGAGTCTGCCAACATTGAGGAAATGCCTCATCCTCGGGTCATCCTGGACGCTGCGGTACCCAATCTGCAGGCCCCGGTCCCGCAGGAAAGCCTCTCTGTACCGGAACTGCGAGTCAGAGGAGCAAAGGTGGTCACAGTTGAGTCTCGCCACCCACCTCCCCTCGGGCCAGCCTGAGTGACAGGGCCAGCCCACAAGTTTCTTACAGGAGCCTTGAGAGTCTGTGAAGGGGGCGAGTTTGGGATTTAAGCCGACCTAGCTGTGTAGCCTTAGACCAGTTACAGAGTCTCTGAGCCTCAGTTCCCCCATCTGATCAAATGGGAGAATGATCTCCCTCCCTCCATGGGAGGTTGAGAGGATTCAACTAGATAGGGGCTGAGCCTCCTGTCTGGAGCCAGCTCGTGTCCACCGCATGGTGGCTACTGAAGTTGTTGCCGCTGTAATTAACACCCCGACAGGAAGAGAAGCAGGCCATGCTCACGCAGCCAGTCTGCCTTTGATTCTTCCCAGCCTTCGGGGACCTCGTCCAGTGCTCCTGAAACCCTCGGTAGTGCAGGACCACTTTCATTTTGTTTGGCTTTTTAAATTTGCAATGCATTAAAGCCCAACATGTGGTCCTACTGCCTGTGAGTAGTATGTCGCAGTACCAGGTACGCTTGGTAACACCCAAACTGGCCTTCACCCTGTTCAGTGAGATGACTCCACTGGTCACCTGCCTGGATGCTACAACATCTAATTGCTAAAAGAATTTCCAAAGAATGCTTGTTCTGATTTCTGCACTTATCCCATGAAACTGTTTACAGGTCAGCCTGTGTCTGCGTTGAGGGACAGCTGCCTTGTCAACAACACCCTCTGTTTTGGTAATAATAACAGCCATATTTTGAGCACCTGTCACATGCCAGACACCAGACACCATTTTGTTTTGATTGCCACATTAGTCCTTGGAGAAAAAAGCCCTATTTCATTGATGTGGAAATTTGAGTTCCGAGAATTTAAGCAACTTGTTTGAGACAAACAGCTAAATTCCTAAATGATTGAGTCAGGATTTGAACTCGAGTCAGTCTAAGGCAGTGGTTCTCAACCTGTGGATTTCGACCCACAGGAACTGTATTAAAGGCTTGCAGCATTAGGAAGGTTGAGAACCACTGATTTAAGGGAAGAGCCCAATCTCTTTCTGCTCTACCTCCACACTGCCCTTCAGCTAAAAGAAGTCCCTTTACTGCAAATCAACAAACCAACCACATGCCCACGATGTCTAGGTACCTAGATACCAACTTTTAAGAATGCCTCTCTCAAAAGAGAAGGAGGGAAAATACAGCCCTCTCTAATCTTAAATTTCTGGCTAAGATCCTAGGAAACAGGACCAATTTTCTTGCTTTCATTTGAAATATAGTTTGTGTTCAAATCTGGTACAGGAAGAGAGGGAGATGATCTTGACAGGTCCTGGTAATTTGCTTTTCAACAGAACCGGGAAAACCGGAGTAACCCTATCTATCAGTGATGAAGGGAGAGAGTGTGAGGTCTTACGTCACTGGCGATCTCCCTGGACGCCCGGGCAGTCTGGAACGGGATGGCGTCCAGCCTGAAGTCGTAACCGCCAGCCCGGGTCTGCTCCCAAGAGTTTCTGTAGACTTTCTAGATTGGAAAAACAAAATCATGAGTTGACAGGTGTCACTCTGCTGTCCCACACGCGGCTGGTTTTTAGCAGCACTGTTCCTAAGTGTGTGCCCCTTTGTTTGGCTGGTTCCCAGGATGGCAGAGTGTAAGGCCCCACATCTACCCTGGGGACCCCCAGTGCGGGGGTTGGTGGTGTGCCCCACAGAGTTTCACCAACTCTGAGGCCCTGCTGGGGGAGAGTAGCAGCTGTGGGTCCGTCTCATCTGCTACCCAAATTGGAGGGCCCAGCCCATTCCTTCCTGTCTCTGCATCCGCCTTCAGTGAATCTGGTTTGCAGCTTCAAGATGTCAGAACTCACACTTCCAGAATCCAGTTTCTTCTTCCCGTCTGCTGACAGTGTTATTCCTTAGGTCTTGGCACCCACGTGTTTATTAGCCTCACTGACTTCTGGGGGGCGGGGGGCGCTCAGCTCGGCTTTGATGTGGTGTCCCACACGGCGCCTATGAGGCATGCTGCATCTCACACACACCCCTGGGGCCGGCACGAAGGGAAGAGCCTTTACCTGAATTAAATTTATTGTCAAGAACCTGACCGAGTACCTGACCCATGTGTTTCATATCTTCCTCTTTCATTTTTTCCCCTTTTCAAGTTGTTCTCACACGCCCTCTGGGAGTCTGTAATCATATCCTCTTAGTCCTCAGGTAGACCCACATCGCCGATAGAGGCATCAAAATCTTCCGTGCCTTCATGTAGCTAATATTTTTTTTTTCAAGATAAGGGAATGGCTCCATGAAAGGAGTCATCTGGAGATCCCAGTGGAGGGCCATCCTTTATTCAGCCACAGAGAAGGGAGACAGCAGGAGAGGCACATCACCAACAGATGACAAAGTGACAGCCCCAGACCGTGTCGGTCGCTCACGCATTCCGTGAGCTACAGCAGGTCAGGGGGCCCTTAAGAACCTTACTTTTGTCACCTAGAAATGGAGGTCAAGGCTGGTGCTCTGTTCTACAGGGGACTTGGGGGGGGGTTAAGCAAAGGAAGAGTGGCAGATGAAAGGCAAAGTGCTCCACCCCATCCCACACCTGGGCCTGAAACTAGAGAGGACCGCCAAGTGCTCGGGCCAAGCATGGCGGATCTCGTCCTTTCTGTGCACTGTGGAAGTTCACCGCCACCTTCCCCTGCACCATCACCTCCAACTGCCAACATCCAGCACCACAAACCCTGAGCTCAATGCCGGAAATGCAGAACCATTAATCGCTGGTCTAATCACCTCATGGACACATGGCAAACAGAGGCAGGATGATTAGATTTACTGGGTTGCCCCTGAGTTAGCAGGTTGGACTGAAAGACCCGTAGGAGAGGAGGAATGCTCAGACAATGACAGCATGACCGTCCTCCATAGCACTGAACTTCCTGTCATGGTGGCCGCACACATATTAGAGTAGCAAATACAGTCAAAACCCTATCTCAAAGGGGCATCCAGGGCCTTCCTAATAAGAGCATTCATGCTAAATCTGTGCTAGTTATCAACACCAAACTTTATCCAACATC